CTCTGGTGGCCTAGTGGCAGGAAGCTGCACTGCAGTCCCAGAGATGCACGGTTCAAATCCACCAGATGCTCTGCTGAGGAAGGAGGGACAATCTCCTCCTGTACCGGTCAGATTCCATTTGACGGTACACCACACAAAAATAATAAAAAATGTAAAAAAAAAAAGAAAAGAAATGACAGCACCCAACACCGGCGGCAGGGTCACGGAGGAGAGGACTGTCGGGGCGGGCAGGGGACCCCAGGGCCACCTGAAGACCAGGCAGACCCTGTCTGGGCAGGCAGGTGACCCCAGGAGCCAGGCCACCAGAGGACAGCAAGGTAGACACCGTCGGGGCGGGCAGGAGACCCCAGGGCCATCAGAAGGCTAGGCAGACCCCGTCGGGGCAGACAGGCGAGCCAAGGAGGCAGGCCACCGGAGGATAGCAAGGTAGACCCCGTCGGGGCAGGCAGGGGACCCCAGGAGCCAGGCTAGCAGACCCCTCGTTGGGTCAAGCAGGGGACCCCAAAGCTACCAGAAGGCCAGGCAGACCCCATCGGAATGGCTGGAGCACGGTGTGGTGGTGAGCTGGCCCCGGCTGCTGGAGGGCTCAGGTGGTTTGTACTCGGCCAGCATTGAGCTGCTAACCGCAAGGTTTGTGGTTCAAACCTACCAGCTCTTTCTGGGAGCCGACCAGCTTGTCCCATGTCCCATGAAGCTTTGTGGCCTTGAGACCCTAAGGGGCCGCTCTCCCCTGCCCTACAGGGTGGTGGCGACTCGGAGCGGTGGGGTTTTGGGGTTACCAACCGGTTGTAGGTCAGCCCCTCCCCCCAGGATCTCTGGAGAGGTCTGCAGTGCTTCCAGGAAGACCCCCTTACCCTCCCAGCTGTTGGGTGGGTCTGCTTCACAGCAGCTCTGTAACAGACTGCCCCCGTTACGGAAGCCCTTAGCCCCATTTGCCTCCCAGGCAGCGGCTGGTGGATTCGAACAGCTGACGTTTCAGTTAGAAGTGCTTCACCCGTGGCTCCAACGGTGCCCTTCATAGCAACGACAGGGAGGACGCCCTGTGGAGGAGTCCTTGCCCCACTTGGGGTCACCTTGACACTGAGCTTGTGTGAGGTGACGTGAGGGTGGGGGAGTGGTTGGATGGGGGGCCACCCCCTCACCGTGTGCCCACCTGCCCACAGGCATGGCCGCCTTCGCTGGGGCGCACCTCCTGTATGTGACCGCCTTCGGCTGGCGGCCACCGCGGCTGGCCACGCTGCTGCCCGTCGGCCTGGCGTGCAGCCTACAGTACGGCCTCCTGCTGCCCCACCTGCCCTCGGACCTGGCGCTGCCCGTAGCGGCCTATGGCCTCGTGCTGGCCACCATGCTGTGGCGAGGGCTGGCCCGCGGGGGCAGCGCCGGCCCGGGCGGCCTGCTCTTCACGCTCTCGGACGCCGTGCTGGCCTGGGACGCCTTCGCCTGGCCGCTGCCCCACGCCCGCCTGCTGGTCATGAGCACCTACTACGCCGCCCAGGCCCTCATCGCACTGTCCGCCGTCGGCGGCCCGAGGCCCAAAGCCAGCTGAGCGGGGCCCTCCACACCCGAGGACACTGTGGGGACCACATGGCAGCCTGCCAGGGCCCCCTGGGGCGCCCTCTCCACCGAGTGTCCCTCCCTGCCCACTGGCACCAGGCTCTTTTTCTGAGTAAAGTGGGCATTGAAATGGTGCAGCCTCCTTCTGTGGGGAGGAGTGTGGGCAGAGGGAATGCCACCGTTAATGCCAGACCAACCACACGGCCACCGAGGACGGGGAGGCTGTCACCCTCCGAGCTGGCTTCTGAGTAAACGTTTGCCGGAGGAGACTAATCGTCCTTCCTTGGAGCTGCTGGTGGGATCGAACCACCAACCTGTCAGCTGTCAGCACAGCATGCACCAGAGCTACAGTTAATGGCAGTGACATTTTTGGAAGCACTGGGGGGCCCGGGGCTTCTGGGGCATCTTGGAGAACACTCAAAGCCCAGTGGGGATCCATGGCTCCTGTTACAGGGGAGGTCTTTGCTGGAGCTGAGGCCCACACGAGACAGGTCCCATGCCACGTGGGGTGAGGAGGGCCTCAGCTGATGACGGGGCCTTGGAGCAGGTGGGCACGTGGCTCGAGATACAGCCCCACCCCGGCTGGCCACCCTCCGCAAGCCGCTCCCCTTTGTGGACCTCAGGTTCTGTGCTGCGGACGTGCGGGGTCAGGGCTGTGCTCCGAAGCCCTGCTCATTGCCTGCTGTCTGTGAAAAAACCTTCACGCACGATAGGCGCTTGAGGACTCGGGCCAGAGATGAGACTGCTTTCCATGATGTGCACTGAAGGGCTCCTAATGGGAACTCTTGAGTAGGGCAGAAGGATAATACCCTTGACTGCTGGCTGAAAGGTTGGTGGTTCGTATCTGCCTGGAAGACTCATGGAAGAAGGCCTGTCTGTCTGCCGAGAGAGCAGAGCCACTGGCAGCCATGTGGAGTAACAGACTTAGTTTAGCACACAAAGATATTTCAGAACTGACCTGATAGCATTGGTAGACGGGGAAAGAAAAAAACAGATGTCTACATTCCAGGATGTGCCTTAGGGACTCTTCGAGCAGTGAGGGGACCTGTATCCCAAGATGTGCACAAAGGGACTCTGAAGGCAGAGAGGAGACCTCTACACTGTGTGAAGCGCATTTAGGGCCAGTGAGCCAGGGAGGAACACAGGACTGCAGATGTGTGGATGCAGAGGTGGGAGGTAAAGGATGATGGTGAGGAGAGACCGATTGGAGCTGGTAGGAAATTCCAACTGAGAGCCTCCTGGGAAGAGTCTTATCTGAGCAGAAGCTGAGGGAGACAGATGTGAAGGGGTAGATGCTCACGCAGAAACCTCTCCTCCCCCGAGACCACACAGAAGGCTGGAGAGGAGGCTTGGCCACGGGAGTGTGCATTCCAGGGCTTCAGTGGGCTCAGTCAGGGACCTGGGGCTGCCAGCTACTGTTGGGAGTCTCCAGGGCCTGGGGAAAGGGAGGAGAGGCTGAGGGGTCGGGACTCCCGGGCCCAAGGGAAGTGGGTGGGGGTCGGGACTCCTGGGTCTGAGGGAGGTGGGCTGGGGGTCGGGACCCTTGAGTCCAAGGGAGGAAGGGTAGGGGTCGGGACTCAGGTCCGAGGGTGGGCTGGGGGTGAGGATTCCTGGATCTGAGGGAGGTGGGCTGGGGGTCAGGATTCCCGGATCTGAGGGAGGTGGGCTGGGGGTCAGGATTCCCGGATCTGAGTGACGAGGGCTGGGGGTCAGGATTCCTGGATCTGAGGGAGGTGGGCTGGGGGTGACGACTCCCAGGTCTGAGGGAGATGGGCTGGGGGTCGGGACTCCCGGATCTGAGGGAAGTGAGCTGCAGGGTCAGGACTCAGGTCCAAGCAAGGAGGGCGGGGAGCTGGCTAGCACAGCGAGGAGGTCGGGGAGGTGGTCAACACACCTCTGCCCACACACCCATTTGTGCCTGGTCTGTGCTGCCATCGCTCAGAATCTGGCCTCTAAGCCTCTCACATCATTCCTTGTCGCTGAATTTCTCAAAAGTGGAATCTGGCCTCTCACGTCATTCCTTTCGCTGAGTTTCTCAGAAGTGTGACTGCACTGGGTTCTGGCACATCCACTCACCCTCCTTGTGCTACAGGTCCAGGGGGTGGGGGAGACAGGGTACACACCAAGGCCCTGCTTCATGGGACCAGGCAGCTCTTTGGACACTCTATGACCCTGCCCTGCCCTGTTCCCACCTCCCAGACCCAGCCTGACTGTCTTGAGGCATCTGGACTAGGGTAATCGACCCCAGTGGGGAGAAAGGATATATTTCAGCTGCGAGGCCCCCCAAAGCCTCAGGCTGTGAACCAAACAGTAAACTGAGTCCACGAGCTGCTTGTCAGGAGAAAGCTGGTCCGTCTCCAGCCTCAGAGATCTGGGGGTGTGTGGGGAGAGCCACCATGAGGTCGGCAGTTTGTTATGATGGGAGAGCAGGCAAGGGGCACAGCAGATCCCCCCCAGGCTCACACACGACCCCCTGGGGTCCTGGGCCCACAGCTGGTGCTGTACTGAGCTGGACACCCAGCCTGTGGGCTCTTGAAACCTCAGAACAAGCGCAGAGTGAGCTGAAGTGCACCCCCCTCCTCACAGGATTCTGGCACCTTTCCTCCAAGCCAAGCTGTGGTCGATCCCTCACCACCACAGTGCAGGGGTCTCTGTTCTTCAGTCGCATCCATTGTCCAGCTTCCTCAAGCACATGAAGCAGTTGAGGATTCTGAAGTTTGGGGCGCGCAAACCTTAGTCCTCAAAATGACACCTTGGCTTTTAACACTTTTTAAAAGAGGCCAAATACGGGGCCCAAAGAGACCAAGAAGGCAGCATATTTGCCCAGTGCAACACAGAGTTCTGTGTCTTTGCAGCTTCAGGATTGTGGATCCGCAGAAAAGGCAATCTTTTGAGGAATTCAGTCTTGTGACTTGTTTGAATGGGACAAGACACACTGAGCATTACAAGTGCAAAGCCATGGAAGAATTTACATCAGTGGGAAACCAAATTTCAAGCTAAATATTAATGATAATCCAAATGCTGTATCAGGATGTGAGGGAAGCGGCAGATACAAGCTGGAATTACCCCTGAAGAGCCAAGGCAGACCGTAGCTGTTTTCCCAATTTTTGGATTATATTTCCAAACCCCTCGCTCCTGAGTCAAGCATAAGATTTCCAATAGAGCTTCATTTGCATAGAATTATCTTTGTGATTTGCTCCCTGGCGATTTTCAATAAAGACACAGAGAAGCTAGGTTTAGGGCTTCAGTTCTTTCAACTGTTCACCCCTGCTTTAGCTCTCTGCTTTCTCCTCCATTCTTGGTGTCCCATCTAGTCTTTTACTACCCTCGGTCAACAACATTTATCCTTACGCTAAGGAGGGACTATTGTCCAACAAGAACATGAAAAGGCTGTGTGTGTGTACTCATTACCGAGTAGCAACTAGCTCCTAAATGACCCTCTAACGGGTTTTCAGAGGCTGGAAATTGTGAGGGAGGAGATTGTCCCTCCCCGCTCCTCCAGAAAACAGCTAATGGATTTGAACCACCTGCCTTTGGGAGAGCAGCACAACTTACCCACCGGGCCTCCAGAGCTCCCTATCTACCTACTAGTCAAATTCATACTTTAAAGACCTCAGACAACCATGAGATATCATCTCACCCCAGTCAGAATAGCAAAATTTAACAGAACAGCAAGCAACAAATGCTGGCGAGGTTGTGGAGACACTGGAACCCTTATTCACTGTTGGTGGGAGTGTAAAATGGTGCAACCACTGTGGAAGGCAGTATGGCGCTTTCTCAAAAAGTTGCAAATAGAGATACCATTTGACCCAGCAATTCCACTACTGGGAATATATCCCAAAGAGACCATAACTGACATCCAAGCAGATATATGCACACCCATGTTTATTGCGGCTTTGTTCACAATAGCAAGGAGTTGGAAACAACCCAGATGCCCATCAACAAACAAATGGATAGAGAAGCTGTGGTATATTCACACAAAATACTATGCTGCATTGAAAAACAAGGAACTCATGCAATATTATTCAAAATGGGTGAGCCTGGAGGACATTATGCTGAGTGAAATATCTCAGTAGCAAAAGGACAAATATTGCATGGTGCCACTGCTGTAAAATGGGACTGATATCAGGGTGGGGTTAAGACTGAGAAAAACTGGATAAATTGTGTATACTGCACTGAAACAGATGAGGGAGTGAATAATTTAAAAGCAATGTTTGATAGGGTATTATGGTTATCACAAGAGTCCACAATTAAGGTTGCATAGTGGAATGTACTTGGGGCGGTGGGAGGGGTGCAGGGGGATTGTGTACCAAGGAAGGAGTGTTTCTTTTACTTTTGAAAGAGAGGAGCGAACTGGGCGGGGGGAAGGGGGGTGGAGGGCTGGGCGGGGAGAGAAGTGCAGCAATGAATGAATGGAAATCCAAAATCTCTGTAAATGCTCATTAAAATTATTTTTAAAAAAGGAAGGGGAAAAAAAAGACCTCAGGTTCCTTCGAGGCAAAGACGATAAATAAAGCTTTGTTCACATGCTTTAGGCATGTTGCTAAGAGAAGCTGTTCTGGGGACAATGTATTTGGAAAATGGAGGAAGGCTGATGGAGAGGAAGACCCTAGTTGAGACGGAATGGCACAGTGACTGCAGCAGTGGGCTCGAGTGTCGGAGACTGAGAGGCTGGCACCGGAGAGGACGGGGTGCAGAGCTGTCCCTACGGTCACTAGGAGTCATGCTTGACAGCCAGCACCCAACAACCAGAGCCTGAAGCAAATGCTGGTCCCAGTAACTTCTTAAACAATGAAATGTTTCCAAAAACAGGAGTAAATACTTGCAGTTAATTTGATGAGGCCGGTGAGGCTTGGTAACAAGAGACAGACAGGAACACACCAGCACCCAGCCCCGCCATCGAGCCAGTTCAACAGGAATGAAGAGATTCCGGGTTGCCTGATGTCTGACAAAGCATCATTGTGGATCTGAGGAGCAGCTGGTGGGTCTGAACCACTGAACTTGTGCTTAACAGCCAGCTTCTTTAACAGCTTTGCCGCTAGGTCTCTCTCTTAAAAGTTGCAGACTCCTACAACTTAGTGCACAGACTGAAGACTCCCTTCAAAATAACCATTCAAGTCCCACCTGGGGTACTAAAAACAAAAGAAAACCAAAAAAAGCACCCGCCACCATTGACAAAACTGAACTCAGCAACACAGCAAAAGTGTTCACTGTAACCAAGGGAGGTTGATATCAAGAACGCAAAATTGCTTTATGTTTGAAAATCAACCTTTGTTAGTCACCACAGTAACAGATTTCATAAAAAGGGGTGGGGGATAAATGCAGAGAAAGCATTTGAGAACATTCAACACTGTTTATGATCTAGATAAAAGATATTTTTTAAAATGCATAGTAAAATCTTTATTAAATCTTCACATAATTTTCTCCTGCCTCAAAAAACAGGTCTTAGGACTGCTATGAACTTATCAAGGTATCTGTATGGGAAAATGTCTCTTTGAGTTCCTATATTCGTGTGTTTCTCTGTATTTCTTCTTATTCTCTCTTTACCATTAATTATTTTTTAAAATTTTTTTCGTGTGTGTGTGTACCGCCAAATTGGATCTGACCGGTACAGGAGGAGATTGCCTCTCCTTCTCCAGCAGAGCA